GAACCCAAGAGGCAGAGGTTGGAGTGAGCCAAGATCACGCCACTGTACTCCAGCCTGGCCACAGATCTCTAAAAATATATATATATATTAGCCAGGCATGGTGGTGCATACCTGTAGCCCCAGCTACTTGGGAGGCTGAGGTGGGAGGATTGCTTGAGCCCCAGGAGGTTGAGACTGCAGTGAGCTGTGATTGCGCCACTGCACTCCAGCCTGGGCAACAGAATAAGACCTTATCTCTACTACAAGTTCCACCGCTCTTTCCTATGCTCATTTCTTCTAGTCACATGGGCCTCTTTGCATCCTCAAATGTGCCAAGAGCACACTCACCTCAGGGCCTTTGCACCTGCTCTCCACTCTGCTTGGAATATTCCTCTGACACCTCTCCACGTGGCTCCCTCCATCACCTTCTTCAGGCCCAGCTCAAAGGTCACCTTCTCATGGGGCTTTCCATGACCATCCCCCCATTACCCAGTCACTTGCTATCTCCCTCCAACGCTTCATTTTTCTCTAGGGCACTTATTGACATCTAGCGTATTACATATTGACTTGCTTATTTCCTCCCTGTCTCTCTCCCTCCAGAGTCTATGTTCCATAAGGAGGGGCTTTGTCTGTTTTCCTCACTGCTGAATCCCCAGGACCCAGAACAGTTCCTGCAACATTGTAGACACGCAATAAATATTTGTTGAATGGATGAGCACATGGACATATGGCTATATCTTGTGGGTCTGTCTTGCCCACAAAACTCTAAGCTCCTTGAAGGTGGGGACTACGTTCTGTTCACCACTGTATCCTGGGGGTAGGGGGTTAAGGAGTCACACTGAGCTGGGCACATTAAAGTTGAATGAATGATTGATCAACCCCTCCAGTTTACAAAGAAGAAAGACATAGAAGCCAGAAGAAGAAGGAAACTTGGTTTGACATATCAAGTCCCTAGCAACCACCTCTAAACTCCCAATCCCATTTCTCCTCCTGAGATTCTGCCTTCGTGTGGCTTCTCTGGAATCATCCGTGCCCCTTGGGCAGGGCTGTCAGGAGAGTTGACCATGCCCTAACCCTGGGCAGCTCTAGTAAGCCACTGGGTTCGTTGGCCTTTAAATTAAATCCTTAATATCACTTTGGGCCCAGAACCCGAGCCTGATTCCCTAAGTCTGAGTCTCAGTTCTATGGCTTGCTTCCTGAGCCTCAGTTTTGCCATCTGTAAAATGGGAACAGTGATAATAGTATCTACCTCATCAGGTGGCCACAAGGTTTATAGGTAATGAGTGCTTACCTATGCAATTGCTTAGACTGAAGCCTAGTGAGCGCCCGGAAACTGTTAACTGCTATTAAAAGTTAAGCACTGAACCAGAGGAGAAAATATTCAGTCCCTTTCAAGCTTCCCTTAGGTGGATTCCAGCTAATTGCAGCCTGGTCGGATGTGGTTTCGGGTTATAATGCCTCATTTAGGTTTCTGGGCACCTGGACGGTTGGCGTGATGTTCCCAGGTGACATTGAGCATTATCTGGAGAACAAAACTCCTTTCAAGGTGAGAAACGCCTGGACAGTCACTAGGGCAGCCAGAGAGAGGCACAATCATAGGCCTCAGTGGATTCAGCTCTCCCAGGCTTCCTGGCTGGAATTACACCCCTCAGGATCTTGCCAACCCAAAGGAGAGGCTGATTTTGGTGTAGGGAAAACAGCAACACCAAAAACAAACAAACAAAAACCCCACAAAAATACCATCTCCTCTCACTCAAGCAAGCACGTTTCACTTGCTGGGGAGCAGCCACAAGGTTTTCCTCATCTCAGGGTAAAAAACCCATGCAACTTGACCCAGACATACTTGCCCAGGTTTATCTCTGCCTCTCCCCCTGCAACACACACACACACACACACACACACACACACAGTATCCCCTTGAAGCTTCACAACAACCCTCACTCCCATTTTCCAGAGAAGTGAGGCCATCTCCCCAAACTCCGATAGATGGGAAGGGGAGGATCTGGGCTTCTCTGCCTTTTTCCATCATATCACCCTGCCCACTGACTGATCCCAACACTATCTTCCCCTAGTCCAGATTAAGGGATTCATAATCTTCTTGTACAGATGGAGAAACTGAGGCCCAGAGCAATGGGGCCACTTGCCCCAGGTACCACACCAGGGATACGGTGGAGTGGTTGGTTGGCCTCCAACCCCAGAATTCCCGCCATGTTTAGTGGGTGGCTGGGCTTAGTTGGCCAAGGTGAAACCCAAGGTTGTACGGCAGGGGCCTGGCAAAGCTGCCCAGGTGCCCTTGGCCTGGTTGGCAGCTCAGCTGCTTTTGACCCTGAGTGCCCTTGGGCAGGCTCACCCTTTCAGTCTTCCTTTCTGGCCATCAAGGGCGGGATTGGCTGTTTGTTAGCAAATCACCTTCCAGCCTCAACTATGCCATGAAACCATGTCTATTATTATTTAAGTAAGACTTGACTTTACACTGACTTGCTTTTTTATTAAAATACATTTGAATTTTGGCCAGGCACGGTGGCTCACGCCTGTAATCCCAGCACTTTGGGAGGCCGAGGCAGGCAGATCGCGAGGTCGGGAGATTGAGACCATCCTGGCCAACATGGTGAACCCCCATCTCTGCTGAAAATACAAAAATTAGCTGGGCGTGGTGGCTTGTGCCTGTAATCCCAGCTACTCAGGAGGCTGAGGCAGGAGAATCACTTGAACCAGGGAGTCGGAGGTTGCAGTGAGCCGAGATCGTGCCACTGCACTCCAGCCTGGAGACAGAGCAAGACTCCGTCTCAAAACAAAACAAAACAAACAGAAAACCAACATTTGAATTTCCATTGGAAAAGCAGTATCATGCCAAAAAAAAAAAAAAAGAAGAACAAATATATGCAAAATCAAACCACATCCACAGATTCTCACTAGA